ATGCCCGCTGTGATTCATCGGCGGTCTGGCTTTATGACTATAGTTATGCTAATGGGGATTAATTACTCAGGGAAATATATATAAAGCTGTATGTCTAATATGTTTATAATTATGGTATTATTCTCATGTACTGGTTTAGTTAGTTTTTTAACCTTTTGAGAGACTGAGTCTGCTTGTTTATCTTGTCCATCTGATATTCACAGGTTTACGGACATTACGTTTTCACATCCTTCTAATTTTCCCTAAGAGATGCGGTCTTAACACGTTTATTATGCATTACATTTCTGGTCTGATGCTTTTTTTGCTTTTCTGAAAACGATTGAAGGATTACCATCAAAAAACCCAACCAAAAAAGCGGAATAAGAGCTAGCTTTTTTGGCCCACGCTGAAGTTCCTTTTTCATTTTCCCAAGAAGAACTGTTCCGAACTGGCGTTGAATTTATTCTACTGTGTATAGCACTGGCAACCTGGCCTCTCGAACCAAGTGAGTAAGACAGACAACTTGCTCTTCGCTGCGCTTCTTGTCTGTTAATTGCCAGCAAAATTTCTAACTTTAGGCTCAAGTGTAGGCTTTTTGATTGTCACTAGTATGTTATTTTCAAGCGATGGCTGAGTTACATCTTAGAAATAACTGTTTAGATAAACTGTTAATAATATCTTCAGTGTAAAGTTGAGGGTCCTCGTCAAGTAGATTTCGAATTTATTCCTCGTGTTCAAATGTGAAGGAATTTTTATGACCAGTGTGCTTTTCAGAAGACAAACATTTGGTGCACTTAAAGATAGGCTAATGCTACAAGTGCTTCCTTGGGGCGCTACACGTGACATTGTTTTACAACTTCACACTACCAAACCCTGTCCAGTTCACTCTTTCTGATACAAAATGTGAATGCATCATAATCATACGTGTTCTTGCATCTTTGTTGATCAAACTGACAACATAAAATTAAAATAAAGCAATAACAAAATTTCTTTTTTTTATCCCTTTCTTCTTCTTGAAAAGAGACAATTCAAGATGGCAAATTTATAAACTCATGTTTAGCTTGACGCTACACATTGGAAAGCTTTGCTGCACTTCATCAAAGGTAGTGGGTAGAAGCATTTATTTTTGAGTGTACCAAGTGTTTGCCTTTCTGAAGGTTTATATGGCTTTTTTTTTGTTTTTTTTTGGTAACTATTCCACCATCGTCAAGCAGTAAGAGGCTCAATGCCAAACTCTTTGCAATTCAAAGTATTCTTCCTCTTTTCTCAGCCCTATTTTAGAATTCAATCTATAAACATCTCTCTTGTCTTATCGTTATAGTCATTGTGGGTACCTAGACCGTTTTGGGATGGCTGGGAGTGGGAAATTTTTTTCTCGAGAGAGATCCAAGTTCCTCGTGTCCAGGAAGATTTTTATAGCTTTACAGGCTTATTGTTGATGACTCTGTTATACTTATTGCCTTTAACTGAAGTTTTTTCGGAGGCGTTGATCGACTTGAAGTTACCAAATGCAGTACTGACTTTAATGCTTCATCTCGGAAACATAGCAATGCTGTGGCGATTTGGAGTTAGCTACATTATCTTTGGAGACGATCATCAAGATGGATATAGTGAACTTTATTACCAACATAAAGATCATTTGCAGGAAGGGATAGAGACATAACCATCATTTCAAATCCACAGAAATAGATAGAATAAACTGTATCAACATCGTTTTTACCATGTAAAGAGTTATCAATTATAACCTTACTCTCTGATAATAATTTGCATCTATTGGGTTAATACTTGAAGGAATCAGGATCGTTCTTGCCTGCTTCTGCTACTGTTAAATCTCTTTCTTTATTGTATTGATGTAACACGCTATCCTTCAGAACTCTCATATCAACTTTGAAATTGCCATCAGTAGCAACATCCTTCACTGTTAATATGATGTCGCCCCATTTCAAACTCAAGCCAGTACTGACAAATAACCTTTCCAGCAGGTGTACACTACGCGCACGAGGGAATTCACGAGAGGGCTAAAGTTACAAGTGCTACCTATGATGTCGTCAGTGAAGCGTTTCAATGTGCAGCGTCACGTTAAGATTGTTGAGTAACAGACACCTTTTCATGTTCCTTGGTGTAGACTACGACTTCTATAAAGTTCAAAAAGAAAGAGATAAAATGTGGCTATTGCTGTATTTTAATTTTTTGTGCTGTCAGTTTGATCAAGAACTAAAGCCATTCAAGAATAATTTTATATCAATGATATCCCACTGGACAGCCTTAGGTTAGATAGACACTTTGGTAGTGTGAAGTTGTAAAGTGACGCCACATAGTGCCCCAAGGAAGCGCCCGTAGCATTAGCTTTCTCGTGAATTTCCTCATATGCGCAGTATTCACCTTCCAGCACAGGACCCCAGAACTTCACGATAAAATCCCAGTCCAACTTATTAATGCTGTTATTAAAAATACAATCGTGATGCTTTTGTAAAAGAAGAAGTGAGTGGTAAAAGTAGAGGCAGAAACTCACATCACAGAACGACTCGTCCAATTCTGGGTTATGCTGGCCTTGTAAACTTTCAACTTGGTTAAATATACTCCTCCAGTTTCTTTTGATCGATCTGTTGTCTTTATAGGCACCGAATATCGACTCTAAAACATGACCAACAGCCGCATAAGAACTGTCATCAAATAGCTTTGAAGGGTACATTTTTATAAGATCATACCACTGCTTCTTATTGAACAAAACGGTTTGGCGTTTGCGGCACTCTGCAGAGAGATCTAATATCGAATTTAGATCCAAACTATTTTAGAATATTAGAATAAAAGGTTAACTTTTTGTTTATCTATCTCTTAATATATCACTCTATCACTCTAATAAGCGGATCGCCTTATCTTATCATCAATTCATCAATGAGAATGCGTTTGATTGAAGGAAGCGACAGACGCACTCATAACCTGTCAACAATAGAAGAATTTTCCGCAGTTATCCTTGTTGAGCATAGCAATAGAAACTGTCGTGATATCGTTCTTACCTTAAGAGGCAGCAGTAGAAATGATAGTCTCCGTTAAGGACATGATTTGAGCAGTACTTTCAACGTATCAGCCAGACATATGCTGTATATATACCAAGTCACTACGCGCTTCTTTTTCCTCATGGAACTTACGGATGGCATTGGGACATGCGCCTATCCTCCTTTTCTCATCCTCCTACTCCTCCTCCATTGCTACCATCACCACAACCGCTACGTATGAAGAAGTAATTTCAACAAAGCAAAGAGATCACCTATCTCAGTGCGCTTATTATATATTCAGATTGTATCTGAGAAGGAAGCACGAGTTTTCAACTATCTTTTACGCAAAAAAGCCCTTTCGGCAGTACCTGGTAAAAATTACACTGAAATATTTATCACTAAATTCAGAGATTATTCTCCCCAGCAGCTACCATGGCGGCCCCCGTTTCATGAGTAAATTATACTATGGTTCCATGACCATTGTTCGCCATTTCGGAAAGAGCTCTTTATTTATTAAGCTTGAGCTCAAAGTTGACGCACCTATAATGCTATTAAGAAATACTGACCCAGCAAGAGGCCTATGCAATGACATTCGCATGCTTGTCGTGCGAATTGGCAGCTATATACTTCAGACTCGCCTAGCCAATAAGCCAAATGGCCCATTAAAGTTTATACCTCGGTTTATGCTCTCAACATAAGAAGATTAATTGCCATTCGTTCTAACCAGAAAGCAATTTCCTATCAGACTATGCTTTGCTATGACAATTAACAAATCACAAGGACAATCATTAAAACATGTAGGCATCGACCTCAGAAGATCATCATTTATGCATGGCCAATTATATGTTGCATTGTCAAGAATCACATCTCTTTTTGGCATCTCAGTCCTTCTGCCAGAAAGCTCAAATACAACTAACAACGTGGTTTGCCCAGAGTTACTACTTCACTAATATACCCACCAGTGTTCACATCATATGGCAATCAAACAAACTTATGCCCACAATTATAAATTATTTTATGAATATACCATTCTTTTCAACACATAAATCTTTACGAATAACACTTTTAGCTTATATGCTCTCTATTATGAATAGATTTTAATTTTATGAAATCATGTATGTAGCACTGTTGCATCAATAAATAAGCATGCAGAGAGGAATCGGAATATGTCGTTTGGCGCACAAGAATTCAAATTTAGCCATTCGCTTAAAGCGTCGTATTAACAATTGCCCTTATTCACCACAAAGGGCGAAACCCTTAAGCCTGCAGCAGCACGACGACGTGCAAAAACGAGCGTAGCGAGTTGGAAGCGGCTAACTTTTGTGTTACTGAAGACAAAGCGTAGCTTAGAAAGTCTATTATCACATCCGAAGACGAGTTGGAGTCAATCACGATTGGGATAAGTATGCCTCTCAATTGTTTCTCCTAGACAAAAATGTTAATCCCTCAAACACGCTAAAAGCAATATCTTAAATGATCTATACAAGTATAAAATACTTGTGTATCAAGATTATAACAGAATAGATCAACTCCAACATTGACTGACGTCCTTTTTTCTTTCTTTTTTTTTTTTTTTTTAAAAAAAACAAGTTGCCAGTTTTCACTAGAGTGATAAAGGCAAAAGATACTCTTAAAGCGAACTAGTCAGCATATGATTACGTAATGGACGATGACTTGCATGAATAAGGAATCTTCTTCGAACTTGCCATTAATAAATAGTCCATATGCATCAACTAGCCCACACATAGATCTATGTAACCAATGCAGTGAACAATGTAAATGATAAAGTGTACTGATTCAAAAGCTTAATAGTATTTTATTTAGTATTTTACAGTTTAATGAATTCAGTTTATATTGTCTTTTAAGTCAATGATGCGCTCGTCGTATTGCTTGATTTGTTTTTTTATCTCTTCTAGTCTGGAATATAACGTAAGCAAACTCTGATCTCCTTCTTCTTCAACAACAAAGTGTGTTGAAGTGTCATCTAAATAATTTACTTCATTTGCAATGCATGCTCGAAGTTCCTGTATTCGATTCGTAACGCGCATGACTTGTGCAGATAGTATAATATGAGAAAGAAAAACCAAGCAAAAGGCAAGAAATATAAAAGACTGTGAAGTGGGATATACAGTGTGGTCCAGCCACTTGATGGGATTCTTGAACTTGTCTCTTGGAGCTAACTTTAGCATCACAAGTAACTCATGGTCCCTTATTAGCTCTTTAGCTAAATCAGGGTTGCTTAGCACCTCGTTTAAGTGATTGTATTGTCTGAACTGATCATCAGCAGCATTATTTTCAATGATTGCTATGAAAAAATAGGTTAATATGGGGAAAATGGCATGTTTAATTATATTCTTACAGCTAACAAGTCCACTTTTCTTGAATGAGACTTCAAATGTTATCAAAAGGCGCACCTTGGATTTATTCATACGGGTGATGCATGTTCTACTTTGGATATAATATACATTGCCCATAGGCATATCAGGCATATACTTCTTTGCAATAATGCATGAATAGTAAGGTAGTTTGTGATGAACTCGTTTCTCCTGGAATAGTATGTTTATCACCCTCGTACCTAGGTAATTTTTTTTTAAAAAAAAATAAGGTTAAACGGTCCTGGATTCATTTCTACGTTCTTTACTTACTCATGGCTGAAGTTTTTATTCGTCTTTTTCCTTTAATACTTCGAGAGTTGTTTTGCCATACTCCCAGTTCAACATCTATAGGGTGGTATAAGTATCTATCACAAGCAACCCTTGATCTCTCATCTTACCTCCAAAGTTCTCACAACGCTCTAAAAAGCTTTTAATAAAATCAGTTTCAAAGAGCAATTTATCCATGGCCTCGACGGTTCCATGATACGTTCTGTCTAATGCAACGTGGGTATACTGCTTGTTACTTTTCATACAAGGGCAAATGACAGCTTTGTTCGCTGTGTACTCGATAGGCTCCGCTTTGGCTGTATTTTTTTCTGGAGAGCTACCATTGGGTCTTGGTGGAACAATGATGGGTGAAGGAATGACTTTGTCTTTATAGGAATCAGAAATGGATCTTGGCCGATTATTGGATATCACAGGTGTATTTTCTACCGTCAAAAGAGTAGCAGCAGCTGGTTTATTTTCATGCGCAACAAGAACTGGTCGTGAAATGACAGTCTCTTTTGATACAGGCTCGTCTGTGAGTAGGACAGGAGGGGAATTTGTCATGATAGCGGAATCATTGGAATGACCGCTAGAGAAACTTGCAGAGCTATTGAAGTATTGTTTATCATTTTCAAGTGACCGAGCATATGTTCCAGGTATAGAGGACGATGTTGGTGTGATACGTTTGTGTAATTTCCATATTTTAACAATTTGATCATAGGCTTGATCACGGGAAATGAAGGAAGCAAATGTATGCTGTACAAAGATTGAATATGTATTTTTTACGAGTGTTCATAAAACCTATTTTACCCTAATTGTGTTTGTTTTGATCAAGATGCCATTGGGTATTATCTTGGCTGTCATTCTCTTCTGTATATCTGTTATTTCATGAAAGTTTATGATGAGCTATTGAGTGATATTTTAGTCACTGTAGTTCTTTGTATGACACTCTTATGTTTACGTTGGTAACAAAGCCAAAGATGTTTGATTTGAAGCAGACGTGATGTTCTGACACATACATGTGTCCTTGTAGCAGGATTTCTTTTTGAAGAGCACATTTATACACTAGAATAATTTACATTAGCATCTATTCTATATATCTTTGTGTGATTTAATAGTCACCTTCTATGAGCTTATCGGTTTGTGGTACACTCTTAAAAAGCGCATGAAAAGCTTCATTCTTTTTTTCAGTCGCCAATTGAAATTCGCAAACAGCGGCGAAACTGCCGGGCCGTTCTGACAATAAATCCAATTCACTAATCATCATTGAAGGCTGTTGTATGTAATTGTCACTGCCATGACCGCTACTACTATTCGTGGATAATGATCTATTGCTTTCGAAACTTGTCTTGCTTGCTCTCGACTCTTTACGTCTCTTGATCAAAGAGCTGATCGTGTGGCGTCCACTGTCGGTTGATTTCCTGTTGACTGGTTCCTGACTAACCTCTCTTTTTAATTTGTCCAAGGAGGTTAGGGACGATGAACGACTTAATTTTCGTGGCCTGTTCTCTAAATGCTCCGATGTATCCTCTTCTGTTGTAGGTCTTTGAATGTCAAGGCTGGACTTTTTGTGAGATGTATCATTTATCGAAGTCTCAATTGGCATATTTTCCTTCTTTCTGGTAAAAGAGTGAAGGAAAGAATGATTCGATGAATTATCCTTGACCATTTTATATTTGTATTCAATGACGTCGATCTGAGGTTATTTTGGTTTTTGCAGTATTTTTTTTTTCTTTTTCTTTTTTTCAAGTGATAAATATAAAAGAAAGAAAAAAGAAAACAAGTTTAAATAGTTGTTCCACGTCAAACCACAGGACGCACGTTCGACATTGAACTTCCGATGTTGCGAAGAGTTTCTTAGTTTCATTCATCATCGCTACATCAGTCAATCATTTTGTTATATCCACAGAGAGTATTGACCAAGGTATTATCACAGTAACTCGTTCCTTAATAATCGCTCTCCTTTTTATACTTTTTGCTTTGCCCTATTATGTTTCATTGTTTTCGGATCACTGCCTATTTTTGGCTATTGTCTGAGCGTAATTGGATTTTTAAAGTACTTTTTCTTCTTGGTGCTGGAAATTTTGCCTTCATGCATATGTATACATACATAATACTCCCTACTCTCAGTATGCTATTGATTAGAATGTGTATTCATTCTTGATGAAACTAGTTTACACTTTTATTTGAGGCATTTCTCTTGTGTGATATAATCATAATACACGATGCTAAGCATCAATAGCAAAGCAAAAGTATCACAGTGAGTATTTTATCATCACACGAAAAAAAGTCAATATTGTGTCTTGTCAGAGCCAACTTCACTATTAATGTCAAATTCTTTAATGACTTTATGACATGCAATTTTTTACGCGTTTTTGTGATATTGGGTCCTTAATAAAGGGTTTATTATACTGGTATGCTTTGAAATCAATTCGTAATATGCTCGACGACAACAATTGTACAATGTCAATATTCTATAAAGTAATGCCTTTGTTGAATGGTTGAGCACTTAATACCATCGTGTAACACAAATATGTTACACAACATAGCAAGCACAAAGCATGTGGGCAACTAAGAGAGATTAAAATAAGCCTATTTTTGCTTTATTTTCCTTCATTAAAGGTGCAATGTAAGATCCAAGGAATCTAAAGAGATCGGTTCTAACTTCTTGAAGATCAAAGATATTAAATTTTTTTGGGTTCTTCTCTGTATCTATGACAACCAATTCCAATTTATCCAATTTTAAATGTCCTTGATCCACGAGTACTTGAAGTCTATTAGGCGTACCAACACCAATGTGAATAGGTTCTCGTTCTAAAAAGTAAACTTGTTCTTCGATTTTAAAGTGCTTAGCAAACAGCTTTGCAATTTTAGCTGATTTTGAGAATTCTTTGAGTGCTCTGATGTTTGTATAAGTGACAGATTATTGTATGTCTTTTTTTTTTTTACCTCACAAGCTCGACTGAACGAATAGCGGAGTGTGTGATGACCAAGACAACAGGAGAAGCCAAAGACGTTGGCTTTTTCTGCAATTTCTTGTGTCCTGCTACACCAAACTTGATATAATTTGATAGTGCGTCCAAAACATGTTCTTGAGTAAACTTTTCATTTTTGACAAGAGCTGATTCTGGCAGTTGCTGTTCTTCAAGTTCGACCGAGGAAAGATCAGGCAAAGCGATCTTTTGACGATCAGCTAAATATTCAGCTTGTACAGTTGTGTTTTCTTTCCAAATGTCAATGGTATCGAATGGGTTAGTAGACACTTTCTTCTTCTTTTGTTGCTTCTTCTTTTTCTTCTTAGGTTGTTCTTCTGTGTTTGCTTTTCTTTTTAAACCAATAGTATCATTATCCTCTTCAATAACTGTCTCATTATCAGAATAAATAGCTTCTTCTTGGAAATCGTCTTCAAAGTCGTCAGCTCCTCTTTCTCTTTTCTTATTATCTTCTGCCATGTTGCTAATTTATTTTCCAGAAAAAAAGAAAAAAAGAGAAAGGTGAATAAAGCTGTCATTATGCTTGTGGCTTATCGGATGCGGAAAGTCAAAATATGCACATCCTTTGTAACTTTTTTTTTTTTCCTTTTCTTATAGATCTAGTTACAATGTCTGCGACAACAACAACTACTACTACTACTGCCAAGACCAGTGTTGATATCGAAGCACTTTCTAAAAAGAAAGCAGAGGAAATCTCATTTGCTGATCTTGTAAGATAGATCATATAATTAGTTCTTTCTAGATTCTAATTCAAACAATAGGGTGTTTCAAAAGAACTATGTGAGGCTTGTGAAAAAATGAACTTTAAATATCCTACCGAGATTCAAAAGGAAGCTATTCCTTGGGCTATCGAAGGTCATGATATCATCGGTTTGGCTCAAACGGGTTCCGGTAAAACAGCTGCCTTTGCTATTCCAATCATTCAAAAACTCTGGGAGAACCCTCAAGCCTTTTTTGCTTGTGTCTTGGCTCCTACAAGGTAAAAAAAAAAAAGCCATCATATAAACATTTTGCTCATGGCTCTTTTGTAGAGAATTAGCCTATCAAATTGCAGAAACATTTGAATCACTTGGCTCAGTGATCGGCGTTCGTTGTGCGGTTATTGTCGGTGGTATGGACATGATGTCTCAATCTATCGCCCTTTCAAAGCGTCCACACATCATTGTGGCCACACCGGGTCGTCTTCAGGACCATCTGGAAAATACAAAGGGATTCAACTTGAAACATTTGAAATATTTAGTCATGGACGAAGCCGATCGTTTATTGGATTTGGATTTTGGACCCAAGATTGATCAAATCTTAAAAGTCATCCCACGCGAACGCAACACATTCTTATTTTCAGCCACCATGACGACCAAAGTAGCAAAGTTACAGAGAGCAAGTTTGCAGAAACCTGTCAAAGTAGAAGTTGCTACAAAATACTCAACAGTGAAGACACTGCTGCAATACTACCTCTTCTTCCCTCTGAAACACAAAGACTGCTACATGGTTTATTTATTGAATGAATTGGCTGGCAATTCAACCATCATCTTTACCCGTACATGTAATGACACACAAAAGATTGCCATCATGCTTCGAAGCTTAGGATTTGGTGCTATCCCCTTGCACGGTCAAATGCCTCAAGCCAAACGACTGGGTGCTCTGACCAAGTTCAAGGCAGGTGCACGCAATATTCTAGTCGCCACCGATGTTGCCAGTAGAGGTTTAGATATCCCAACCGTCGATATTGTTATCAATTATGATGTGCCACAGTCATCCAAAGATTATATCCATCGTGTAGGTCGTACGGCAAGAGCTGGTCGATCAGGAAAATCGATTACATTTGTTACACAATATGATGTCGAGTTGATTCAGCGTATAGAAAAGGACTTGGGTCGTAAGCTGGATGGTTTCCCTGTTCAAAAGGACGAAGTCATGATGCTGCAGGAACGTGTAGATGAAGCACAACGTTTGGCTACATTAGAAATGAAGGAAACAGCCAACGGTAAAAAATCCAAGCGAGGAAGAAAGGGTGAAGAGGAAGAAGATGATGATGCGGATAATGAAGAAAAGGGTCTTGTCATGCCTGGAAAGAAGAAGTTTAAGGCTGGAAGTCATAAGAAGGGCAAGAGACATTAATAAAATCCATGTTTTTTGTATGCCGTGTTTTATATTTGTAGTTTACTTTTTCTTCCTGCAGGAGCTTTTAATAATGTCTGTGAACATAAAGTTTAGAGAAGACAAGGATGAACCATTACTGTATAATGATACGACTGTAACATACTTTAAAGAAATAATCGCTACTATTGCTCAGTTGGAAGTAGAAGAAGTGGGATCCACTACTCCTTTATATATATTAATGAATTTAGATCAACTTGTAGTTCAGGATTTGACGGAAATTAGATCAATCTGGAACAAGAGAATCATTACTTTTGCAGCAGAGCATAATTCATCAAAGTATGTATACATATAAACTATACGCTACTACAACAATTGCAATAAAAAACAAGTATTGCCTAAAAACAAGCACTGCTTGGCTGCTTTAAATGTTTTCGCGTAGCAAAGATACTTATAGACCTAGCTTTAGTAACGTTGACGTGTTTGATATAAATCATTATAATACTCTATGCCTTACAGTAGAGCATACATTCTACTTTCTTCAAATTATAGATATGCATATCACAGTCCTTCAAACGATGTTTAACCATGGTTCTGTTTCCTTGCTTTCCACATCAGAAAGGCTAAGCATGCCACAATCAATTGGGCAAGTTCCTGCATTGCTACCTCCCGTGCTCACACTTGACTACAACTGTGCACAGATTATGAAAAGTACTGTAGAGTGCCTTGAAAATGTTGCTTCCTCAGCGGCATTGACTCGCCCAACTGGTCTCACTTTTCTCCCTGATTTGTCCCGATGATAAACAAAAAAAGACATCCCTTTTTTAATCTTTCCTTCTCTCTTATCGCTTTTATACACTATATCCAGAAAGTAATGTCGATTCAGATGTCGTACTTTGTATATTTTGTATTATAAACATTCGAATTAGGAAAATTTTTCCAACATTAAAATATATCCATCACCATCTTTACTAAATCATGTGCTTTATATTTTTACTTGACTGTCATAATACCTGCACCGTCATCATAAGCAGTTTACATGTCAAAACGTGTCTTGCTGAGCAACACAAATAGTCATGGTGTGTAAATAGTTCGAGGTACAAGTACGACATCAAGAAACTGCTTATATTGTTATTTAAGTCTAAACTTGTATTATTATACAGGTTTTATAAGCTAAATTTATTCTTTGGCACACAATATAAACTACACAAATAAATACTTTTTTACTATAAAAAGTAATAAAAATATATTAATTAGCTGTAATCTCCAGGAACAACCTTTCTGCAGCCATCTTGAGAAATACCAATGTTACAGTCAGCTTGAGATTCACAGCATCGAATACAAAAGGTACCGCCATTAGGTTCAATCAAGTTTACAAAATAATCAAGGTCATTACATTTATGCTGGCTTTGGTCCCTGTTATCATATTGACCTCCATTATCCGTAGAAGATAGATTGTATACAGATGGGTCAAAAGTACCTGTTACTTGAGAGTAGCTGTCTGTCTTGAGATAGTGAGCGGTTAAGATAAGACCAGAGGGGAAAGTGTATCCACCAAGGGAAGAATCTGTACAGAATGGCTTTCCTTGCTTCTCAGTAGTAGCCACATCTTGACCAGGGGTACCAGGAAGAAAAGAACAGAACTGTGTGTCAGAGAGGACTTGAATGTTGGTAGAATTATAATTGGTATTGTCAACAGTGGATGTACTATTGTCATCCCGTTTGTTTAAGACAGGGCTTGCAGTAATAACTGATGATAATAAGAGGATGTTAAAAAGGATTGTATACATTGGGAATTGCGTATAGAAAAAGAATAAAATATAAAAGCTCTACCTTTGTAAGTTATTTATACTTTAAAGATCGAGTCTACACTAATTAAAGCCAAGGATAATATTTCCATTTAAGGTTATTTTTATTTTTATCTTCAAAAGTTGCTGCTGGAACTAAAAAACATACCTTTTGTCTTGGCAAATGAAGGTTTATCTATTTTAGTTTATCATTTTGCTAACAATAGATTAAGCATACACTGATTTCCAAATATGTTCCTCCTTGAACCGTCAAGATTCCGTTTTTATTGAACGCTTCCAAACTGTCTTCACGCGCGTGCTTGAGTTCCTAATGTAAAATACGCTAATAGTTCAAATGATACTAAAAGCTTCAGGTGATATTAGACTTGATTTATTGTTTATTGACTAATAAGCGCCATAATGTTTTAAAATAGTCGCAAAATGAAAGAAAAACTCTTGTCCTATCATTCGTCTCTGTCAAGGCATTTGATATACGATGACGATCATGTAGATCTCTCATACTGATGTCATCCATAAATGGTTATTTATACTTTTTTAAAATAACCTTTTTCGCAAGTATAGCATCATATATAAAAGGTATTGTACATAATCATGAGCCACTTTACAAGGATATAACTGGTTAAAAGAAAAGTGTAAATGGTTATGTACTCATCCCACTGATTTGTTAATAACTGAAGTGACTCTGTGGTGCCTGTTTTTGCAATAGAGAAATAATAAGGATATTGATGATAAAGTCAGTCTTTATCATTCTTTAAACAAGCACTCAATCTGAAACACATCACGAACGATAAACAGCTTTCTAGTATAAAATGAGCTTTAATACATTTTCAAAAGAGTGAATAAAGAACGTCATGAGAAAAAAAGGGAGGAAAAACACTAAATTTATTAACAAGCAACATTTAAAAGTTATTATTTTCGTTTCATTTTTCGTTTATATTCATTTGATCTACAAAGGGAGACAGTTTCGCAGCGTCTGTGATCCAGGCCAAGCAACTGATCAAACCAGTCTAGAAAGAAAAGGTCATCCCGTCTCCCTAAGCCTTACCCCTAAACAACCGCCGCGCGACTCGCGCTTCAGCACGCATTAAACTACCCAAAATAGCTTTTGGTTCGATACCGCCTAGCAACAGCATAAGC